ATAAAGTTTTACCATATTTTTTATATTGTAATATTATCTAAACTGAGCCTTGAGAACATGCAATTTACTTACACACTTATTAACTTGGCTGCCCACCACTAAAATTCATCACACTTAGCCGCACACATTTTTATTATATATTGAAGAAGAAAGAAAATAGTATATATACAATGCATTTTGCAATAATAAATAGTTTAATTGAATTACAATTTATAATTTGACGTTTTCATACAGAATGCTTTATCTATTCTTGTTTCTACTTTCCTAAAATGTTGACAAGGTAATCATTACATAGCTCTAGTAACGCGAACATAATCATTACATTCATTCATCTTTATGAAAACAAATTAACAGTAACACGTGTTTGAAATTTAATATTCATAGTGTGTTATCATTATAAAAAAGTTATGCAACATGTGCTCATTTGCGTGTGCCCAACTTGCAAACATATTCAAAAACGCATGTTTAAATAAGTTATATGTTCTGGTACGTGAAACGATGTTTATACTTTTTTCGATTTATTTTATTTATGTTTGTTATCTAAACAAGCTGTGATGGAATTACAAAAATCCAAAGTTAATAATGGTATAATTAATGCTAATTTAGCTGTAACAGGAGTCTTCACTTTTTCCATTAAATCATTTTGATCAGGCATTATTTTATCAACAACATGTTTAAATACTTTTCCGTCGTTATTTACGTAAAATGTAGAAAAACCATCATACCATCTGTCAATAAGTTTTTAAAAAAATTTAGTTAATATAATACAATACAATAATAGTAAATAACACACTTACAAATCCGAATCATTTTCCGCATGAGTTTTCATATGCCAAGCTTTAATCTTCCAAAATGTAAGGAATACGCGTGTTCCAGACATGCCTACTATACGCCAACGAATTTTAATACTACTGTCTTCTGGATGGCTAGTCATCTTTAAAATCTGTAGTCTGACATAAGCAAATTTTAGATGACCTAATAGTCTTATCCATGTTACTTGCTTCATATATTGATTAAGTCCTCTGAAAGACATTGGTAGTATATTATATATTTGGAACTATATATTTTGCTTCAAAAACGTTTTAAATCATATGCTTACGTAGTTACTGTTCCTTTAATATTATTTACGAATACCAGATCTGGTGTATATATACGATAATTTAAAGACCTAACAAACACCAACGGCAACTAAAAAAAGGAAACTTTATATAAGATGAAACAACACATTTATAAAGGAAGTACATACGTCATCTCTAAGGCAATTAAATATATGTTGCAATTGTTCTTCAGATGGTTTACGATTATCAGATGGTTGTTTGTCTTCTGCATTTTGCACATTAGGGTTTGGCTTGGAGTAAAAAACACTTTGTTCTTCTAAACAATTTGAATTAACTAGATTCCTATTAATTGAAAGTCTCTCATTGTGAGACAAACAAGACTTATTCTTTGAATTCAGCCAGCTACGATCTATATATGGTTCTAACCATTGAAAATTATTATTAAATGCAGATCCATTTACAGTATCAGTATCCTCTCTGTTCACTGTTTGAATATTTATTTTTCTTTGCTGTTGCATCCATGTTGTCTGTTTATTCCAATTGAATTTTTTATTCACTACACTTAACCATTCTGTGTGAGCATCAAAATAAGTAGCTGGCATAGATCTTTTTGCATGATCAATAGCTGTGTATGTTACTACTGTTGCTGGTACATCTAAAAACTGAAATTTTATAAATAAATAATTTTGATCAGATATATTCTATATTTTTGTTATAAATATGTTAAATCAATCTATTGAAAAGATGAATGTCATTTAATACAATTTTTAATTACATACAAGTAAAAATGATAAAATATTAATCTACATAATTATAATGACTATTATATAAGTATTATGAGGTTAACTTATTCCGGCAATTCTGCACAATGAAAGATAGCAATGATTATTCCATGCGAAGCAACGATAATAATCAAAGTTACGCGTCTAATTGGAATGATTCGTAATAATCTTCAAAGGACATTAGTAAATACCTCTTCTAAAAACAGTGACGACTTAATATGTTTCGGTAAATGATGATCGATTTTCGTTACTTGTTTTCGTGTATTAAGAAAAGGTGCAACTTTATTCGGAATATTGCGCAAGCATAAAGACATCTTTCTCCACTTTTTGGCTCACTGATTCATACTAGATATCTTTTAATTACATAGAATTCTGTGACACAATGTACGACAAGTACAAATGTCGGTGCAATCTTAACATAATACTATAGAACTATAGACCTGACTTCGACAAATTCACTCACGTTTTAAACACGTTTTTCGATATGTAATTTTCCGTGAATACGCTTTGTATCTAACTCGGAAGATGGCAGTATATAATTGTAGTGGGAAATTTAAATATTTTAAATTAAACCCATTAATAGATTTCTAATGCCTCTGCTATATTTAAACAAAATTTAATGCTTATCTTCTACCTAATAATCCCAAAAGAAATGAATAGCTAATATTAGTCAAAATAGTTTGCTAGTCTAGGGATAAAGTTACTGTCATTATTAAGAAGTTGATTAAGTCCTTAATTGTTAATTTTTTGCTTAAAAATACATACTATTAAGCCATTGCCTGTAGGTAAAGTTTTAATAATGTTACAAATGAAAAGTCAAATACATACCAAGTTGTAAGACAATTCTTTTGTTTAATTATATATACATATTAACATAATGCTTTATCGGTGACGTTATAATCGCTATGTTAAAAAATAATAACCATATATCATCACTTAAACGACATAAATGTTTTTCTACACGAGAAAATTTTTTTAAACAATAAGCCTGTCTCTTATACACATCTAGATGTGTATAAGAGACAGCTATTAAGCCATTGCCTGTAGGTAAAGTTTTAATAATGTTACAAATGAAAAGTCAAATACATACCAAGTTGTAAGACAATTCTTTTGTTTAATTATATATACATATTAACATAATGCTTTATCGGTGACGTTATAATCGCTATGTTAAAAAATAATAACCATATATCATCACTTAAACGACATAAATGTTTTTCTACACGAGAAAATTTTTTTAAACAATAAGCCTGTCTCTTATACACATCTAGATGTGTATAAGAGACAGCTATTAAGCCATTGCCTGTAGGTAAAGTTTTAATAATGTTACAAATGAAAAGTCAAATACATACCAAGTTGTAAGACAATTCTTTTGTTTAATTATATATACATATTAACATAATGCTTTATCGGTGACGTTATAATCGCTATGTTAAAAAATAATAACCATATATCATCACTTAAACGACATAAATGTTTTTCTACACGAGAAAATTTTTTTAAACAATAAGCCTGTCTCTTATACACATCTAGATGTGTATAAGAGACAGCTATTAAGCCATTGCCTGTAGGTAAAGTTTTAATAATGTTACAAATGAAAAGTCAAATACATACCAAGTTGTAAGACAATTCTTTTGTTTAATTATATATACATATTAACATAATGCTTTATCGGTGACGTTATAATCGCTATGTTAAAAAATAATAACCATATATCATCACTTAAACGACATAAATGTTTTTCTACACGAGAAAATTTTTTTAAACAATAAGCCTGTCTCTTATACACATCTAGATGTGTATAAGAGACAGCTATTAAGCCATTGCCTGTAGGTAAAGTTTTAATAATGTTACAAATGAAAAGTCAAATACATACCAAGTTGTAAGACAATTCTTTTGTTTAATTATATATACATATTAACATAATGCTTTATCGGTGACGTTATAATCGCTATGTTAAAAAATAATAACCATATATCATCACTTAAACGACATAAATGTTTTTCTACACGAGAAAATTTTTTTAAACAATAAGCCTGTCTCTTATACACATCTAGATGTGTATAAGAGACAGCTATTAAGCCATTGCCTGTAGGTAAAGTTTTAATAATGTTACAAATGAAAAGTCAAATACATACCAAGTTGTAAGACAATTCTTTTGTTTAATTATATATACATATTAACATAATGCTTTATCGGTGACGTTATAATCGCTATGTTAAAAAATAATAACCATATATCATCACTTAAACGACATAAATGTTTTTCTACACGAGAAAATTTTTTTAAACAATAAGCCTGTCTCTTATACACATCTAGATGTGTATAAGAGACAGCTATTAAGCCATTGCCTGTAGGTAAAGTTTTAATAATGTTACAAATGAAAAGTCAAATACATACCAAGTTGTAAGACAATTCTTTTGTTTAATTATATATACATATTAACATAATGCTTTATCGGTGACGTTATAATCGCTATGTTAAAAAATAATAACCATATATCATCACTTAAACGACATAAATGTTTTTCTACACGAGAAAATTTTTTTAAACAATAAGCCTGTCTCTTATACACATCTAGATGTGTATAAGAGACAGCTATTAAGCCATTGCCTGTAGGTAAAGTTTTAATAATGTTACAAATGAAAAGTCAAATACATACCAAGTTGTAAGACAATTCTTTTGTTTAATTATATATACATATTAACATAATGCTTTATCGGTGACGTTATAATCGCTATGTTAAAAAATAATAACCATATATCATCACTTAAACGACATAAATGTTTTTCTACACGAGAAAATTTTTTTAAACAATAAGCCTGTCTCTTATACACATCTAGATGTGTATAAGAGACAGCTATTAAGCCATTGCCTGTAGGTAAAGTTTTAATAATGTTACAAATGAAAAGTCAAATACATACCAAGTTGTAAGACAATTCTTTTGTTTAATTATATATACATATTAACATAATGCTTTATCGGTGACGTTATAATCGCTATGTTAAAAAATAATAACCATATATCATCACTTAAACGACATAAATGTTTTTCTACACGAGAAAATTTTTTTAAACAATAAGCAGCTAGTAACACTTATAAATAAATGGGTAAAAATATTAATCAAATATTCTTTTCAGAAAAATTGCGTCGGGGAAGATACGAAGTGATAAAGGAAGTAGTTCGAGTTCATATAGATCATAAATATTAGTTCAAAATCGTAATGATGAAATACATTTGGATTTGAATGGATATCATACATATTTTTACATGAGCTGCTAATGGAATGCTAATTAGACAAATATATTATCAACAATTATTAAAATAGTTTGAACTTAATAATATAATATTACTTTTGGTTTGATAAAAATTTGCTCTTGTTACAATTCATAACGTTTTTTATCATACAAAGAATTATAACAAAAAATTTATATCATATACAGCTTGCTTTTAAATCAATGGCAAGCCATAATCTCATTTTTATTTTGAAAGATTTATTATTATAGGAAATATTGCGTGCCTTACCAGAAGACACAGTTATGGATTAAGAATATGATTAAATGTAACATCATTTAAGCAAAACACGCTATATCGCTTTGTGGACAATGTCGGTATCAATTTGGGTTCCAGAACCATTCAGAAATTCTACGAGACTCCTGTTCCCTACTCTCTTCTCTTGATCGGTGCGAAGAACGTTTCTTTTTCTTTTCTGTTTTCTCTGTTCTATCTTTCTCCTTATCTTTATCTCTAGATTTCTTCTTCTTCTTCTTCTCTTTATCTTCCATCTAAAGAATATTTTATTTAATAGGATTATAGCATAATTATTAAATAAAACTTTACTGAAACTGACACATACCTTTTCTTTGTGCTTCTTCTTTTCTTTCAATACGGGACTACTGCCATTCGAGCTCATGTGCTGTACACTAGCATTATCAAGTAATTCTAGATGTACATTAGAACTCGTTACACTAACATCTAAACTTTTATCGCTCAATCCTAATCTGTCTTTTCTTGTGCTACTACTGCTCACATCTTCGCCACCCTCAGGACTCTGTCTCCATTTAGAATCACCTTGAAGCCAAATATCAAATTCATCAGAACTAATCTCTTGTTGTTCATTGATATCGTAATTGTTCGATATTTGTAGTTCTTGGTCTATCGACGAGACAGAATCACGTTTAGCAATTTGTCGAAGTTTCTCCGAATTTATTTCGGTATTTGTAAGAGATTCGCGTTTATGCTTTTGTTTGGATAATGGATTCTCAGCTAATTTTGGCTGAATCGGAGGCGTTGTTTCTTCGGTGGATGATAAATCGTCCTCGTAACCGGCAACCAATGGATTTGCAGTTTCAGTATCGCTATTATAAAAAGAAAGAGAAAAAGCAATGAGTAAATGAAGAGTTGTGTTTCATTTAATTTTGCTATTCTGCATGATCTTCTAGTATACCTTTCGGAATCTAGCTCTTGATGCTGTATTTTCTGTGGCGAGACTTGATTACCGTCTTCCAAGAATGATCTATCTAAAAGACCATCGTCCGGTACAAAGTCTTCAACACTAGTTAATGGTACACTTGTATTCATATTATTAATGTGCACTGTTTTATCCACTTCATCTTCCTTTTTGTTACCAAATATTTTAGACATGAGTGACTGTGGTTTGCTAATGGAATCTCTTCTGTCAGAATTACTATTTAAAAATTCAGATACTTTGGAGTCTGCATTTGTTACATTTTGAGAGGCAGATAATGCTAATGCAATCTGCATAGTTTTAATAGGAGCTACTTGATTCTCTAAAGTGCTGAAATTCTCTTTCTTTGGTGATGTTTTCATATCTATATTTTTAACTGGAATCGGCGTTCCACCTCCTATTGGACCAGGCATCGAAATGGATCTCCTAACTTCTGTATTTGTATTTATGTTACCATTAGAAGATGATATATGATGATTGCTTAAAGAAGTTGTAACGTTGGAGACTAGAATACTGGCAGAAACTGAATCAGCGATAGCTCTTCTTCTGTTAACGAGATTATCTAGGAATTTATTGTAATCGGCGTCGTCGCTGTCCTGAAATAGATCAAGTTCCTGTACTGTCAGACGCGTTTCCCCTTCGTTGGTTTCAAGCTGTTTCAGCAATGTTTCTCGTTGTAGCTGAAGGAATGGAAGATTGAAGAATTTGTGCAGAAGTTTTAAACCAAAACCATTTCTCATGGATGATTCAGTGTACCTTACCTACACAAAGAAGTATCGAGAAAGTAATTAACATTTTCTAAATCTTTATGTCTAATACTAGTAATTAATTTACTTGTGCCGATCTCTCGTGTAATGAATCAATAAAATACGTCACATGATCCGATGTAACTGTTCTGTGATGAGCCATATCACAATGGTTTCCTAAAACGATAACTGGTATATGGCTAGGTATTTTTGGAAGTTCCCTTTGTACATAATCAAATGTCCAGGACTTTGTAATATCCATCATAATGATAACGCCATTGGTCCCTTTATAGACATCAAGAAATTCTGCATCCAATGCAGGTTCCTCAATTATATTCTCTGACTGAGAATTGTCCATCTTCAGGCCTTCAAACTTTTTTCTTCGGCGACCTTTATCTACAACATCCCACACTTCGACTTTCACAACATCGTCTGTTGCTTTATAGTTCCACTGAATGCTTGTTACTTGTATTTCTTCTGTCGGTATATATTCTTCTATAAATTTTTGGCCTTGAAGTCTATGAAATAAACAAGTTTTTCCCACATTTCTATCACCCTTTATAATAATTTTCACTGAAAAAAACTATTGTGTTATTTCAGATACTTCATAGTTTTATTAGGAATAAATGAGATACACTTACTATTATATTGTACACCTTTGGCAAATTTTCTCTGTAATGTTGTTGGCATAGACTGATGAGCTGGTCTTGGAGATACATTACCAACTCCATCAGACTTCCCAGCCAATCTTTTAAATGCTGATAACATCTTATACCTCTTTAGGGTTGTGACAAAAATAATACAGGAAAATATCTTTCCCTTGATAGTGCTATGACAAATACCTAAAGTACAAGAATTATTATTAGTCTAATATATTATATGGTTAAATTCAATCCTATAGATGAATTACTATAATTGATAGCAAAACAATCCTCTTATTTGTTCAAATATGAGTACAAATATAATAAATGCTATAACTGTAGGACACACAAGTTTTTAAATATATTTCCAATGATAAGACAAATGACAACTAGTACAATATATATTAATTAATATTTAAGAAACGCATGTAAAATAAACATTTAGAAAGTAAGTTAACGTTAGTTTATTGTACATCATAATTCTGTGTCTGGATGCACTTAAATATTGTCATAAAAAATGATTATATTTCTACGAACACTTTTATAATAAACTCCAGGGATAGTGGAAAATGTTTACATCGCTTACCACATTTTATACTAAATTATTTGTAGAAAATAAAAATTCATTCCAAATAGATAACCGATACAACAAAACGAAACCAGCTGTCACTTGGCAGCTACACTTATTTCTTTTAGTAATGTTGGTACTCGTTCTTTAGACCAGTGTCAGCGCACGGACTATCAAAATAGTTTGCCATCCCCACGCTGTCATACTCCAATGAATATGAACATCGTAGTTCCTGGATCGACTGTCATGCCATCACGACAAACTATGAATATTGCGAGATAATCTGTTTTTTAGCGATGTCGGTACAATTTCAGAACATATGACACAGAACCTCATATGATGTCTAGTCTACTCTGATACCTCGTCTGTGGTCAAAGGGTAAGGATCATTTGCTGCAATCCTTTGAATAACCGGTCGACAACTTTTAAATTGTACTTGTTTGAGCATTTTACCACGGGTAGAGCCACTAGTATCCTGCTTGGTGTTTTTACACATCGGTAATTGGCTACCGGTTTGGGCATTTTATTACTACATGATTGGCACTGTATAAAGGCCTCTATGGAGTTTCTAAATTTCTCCATAAGCGGCGTCATTATCGTCAGGGACCCTGACCTAACTGACCCTGACAGATAATGAGATTCTAATTTCTAATCGGCAGTCCCAAAGAGTTGTTTGAAGATCCTTGTAGGCGTCTTCGTCTTCATCTCTTCCTAGATTCTTCTTTTAATATATAAATGGGAAATTGTCATGAATCATGAGAAAAGTGTGGACAACAATATATTAAAAATGACTACACCTTTGTTTATTATACAAAAAAGTCAATAATTTGTACAAAAGGGTGTAATTACAATGTAAATTGTCCGCAACGATTTAAACGCTCGCAAGCGATCACCCTCTAAACAGAATAAGCGAACATCTGGAACTCTAAACTTATTGTAACACGAGATTAGTCATCTGCCTCAAACATACTGCACTCAAGACGTATACCTACAATTTTATAGTTACTAATCATGCATCTCAATTCCCAAATTATAACAATTACAAACAACACACATTCCTATACAATCCGTACACTACAGTACGAATGCTATATAACAATTATATATTATGCGTATCGTTTATTTTATAAAAAGGAAAGGAAAATATTGCAAAGTGGCACGTCTCGTAATTTTGTTTCGAGATAGTCGGCAATAGAGGAAAGTACAATAAAATTCGAGCAAACTAACATAAACATTCATTTGCAACGAATTGGATAAGAAAAGCATAGTTCATCCTCGGCTTAATCAGACGCCGAGACATATCTTTCCCTCTAGACAATTCTCTCGACACATTTCGTTCCCACCACCATTTTGTACTTTTTTCAATTCGTCGATCCGCATATGGGGATCAAGTTACTCAAAACATGGAGATTCTCAATTCAAACTCCGTGTAACCAAAGGAAGATAATTCATTAAAGATATCATTAAAGATGACAATTAAAATGAATTGTGTAAAATTAGCTAAGAGTGTTTTTGGAATTACGATGATTGAGCTGCCAGCATTTCTTCCTGCTGTATTTTCCTGCGATAGTTGTCCAAAGTGACTTGTATAGTCTTCTCAGAGTATCGGCAGTTTTCGGCTCCACAGGTACACGTGAACGACTTGCATTTTATTATCCAGAACTTTTCTCCGTAATCGAAACTGAGGGCAAACAATTCTGCATTTGTTTCTGATCAGAAATTACATTAATAAAATGAAATGCGTTGAACATTCAACAAAAGATAGACTGCGATTAGGCTCCCCTTTTTATGGACAATCAAAACCCAAACGTACCAGTGCAAAGAAAGCCAAAATAGGAATTTAAGAGAGAATGAGGCAAAGCAATCAACCAGTGAGAACGATCAGCTAACCAAAACCAAATATTAGTTTTTTTATTAATAAAAATAATTAGCGTACGACACTAATTATAGGCGCGTACAGTGCTTGTGGTTTCCAATACTTTGTTAACATACCCGAGCTCTTCGTCAGCTTCGATGTCACGATTCGCAAAAAATGCTATCCTAGGAAAATGCAAATCCTGATGCTCGACGAACACTCGCACAGGCAAAAGATTAGGTGCGCAAGAATGATTTATGAAACGAGCTATATTTCCGTATCGTCTTGCATCTATACAATAAGTCTCTCCATCCTGAGTAATAATAAATAAATTAATTTCTCGATGCATTCGTCGAGTCTTTGTGACACTTACCCTATTATCTAAATCAAACAGATACGAATCATCTTCTCTGTGATCAGCTTCAGAATCAGATATAATCTCGCCAACATATTCACACACGTAAGAACCTTTAGGAATGTGTCGCAATGTTCTAAGACCCCAACCTTTACCCTTCGTTCGAAACAATTGAAACCTTTGCGTCAAACCGTGTTGTACAACGCGATTATTACACGTTATACGATTGCAATCGCAAGCTGGATTACACTCGAATAACATCGGAGGATCTGTATCAAATATGCATATTCGAACTTAACCGGATTTTAATTCCTAAATATTTATGAATATTTACGTACCTGCATAATTAAATTCAGGAATCAATTTTCCTTCTTCGTCGTACCAACACCTGAGACTAATATTTCCACACAAACACTTCTCTGAACTACAGTTATCTTCGCAACGACAAGACTGTAAAGACGTTATCGTACGGTCAACATTTATGCTACTAGTAAAACAGTTCTCAGTCACATACAGGAAATCTGTTGGCTTGTCTTCCGCGTCGTGTCCGTTAACGCATTGAATAGGATTCGTTTCCTTCCCGCGCGAAATGTCACTGAAAAGGTAGACATTTAACTATATTTTATAAACGTCAATCTGGGAAAGTGTAACAATTAAATTTGATAATCACTTAGTTAAAATTTTTACTGTTTTCTCCCACATGTGCTCGGAAAGTTCATTAACTTTAGCGTTCAATCTTAAAGCAGACATAGTGTCCCCGTCATTTGTACAACAGTTTACTGCTGTTTCACCAGCAGCATTCACTTCGCCTATTTTAGCACCACGTGCTAATAACAGAACACTCACTGCATACTGGTCTTGCCTTGCAGCTATGTGTCTAGAACGTAAAAGTAAATTTAGTGCAAAATTTTGAATGTTTAACAAAGCGTTGACTTACAATGAACTTACAAAGGTGTGTCACCATGAACGTTAACAGCATTCACGTCGCAACCTTCGTTAAGGAGCATCTCTGTGATTTCAGAACTCCCGCTGTACGCACTCCAATGCAACGCTATGTTTTGTTCTGCATCTCGAATTAATGGGTCGCATTTTTTATCTAACAAAAATCGTGCGACATCGGCATGACAAAATTCGCATGCCCAAATTAAACTTGTCCATCCACCGTCGTCCACAGAGTCTAACAAATTATTGATAATTATTCACATGTGCGGAATTAAACGTAATTACATACTACACTAATAGCATAATAAAATGCTCATTACCCACTAACGTCCTCGGTGCTTTGCATTCTGTTAAAATTATTCGACATACTTCTAAATGCCCAGACTTTGCAGCCATATGTAAAGCAGTCATACCATCCTCTCCTTTCAGTGTAACATCGGCACCTATCCTTATTAAATATTTGACTACGTCGGCTTTACCCTTGCTGGCAGCTAGCATCAGAGGCGTCAACTGATTTCTATCCATCAAGTCTAATTGAGCACCAGCCTGCACTAATACGTGTACACAAGATAAGTGGCCCTTATCCGCAGCTATGTGAAGTCCAGTTCGATGAGCATACTCTCGGAATGTATGGTTTGCGTTATAACCGCATGCTGAAAAGATCAAGCAATTTAAATTACAGATTCGTTGCAAGGTGTAGAGTAGAATGAACTAGGTATGATGAATATACCTAAAACATTAACCAACTTCTCTAAGTCCCCGTTTTTCACAGAAGTATACAGACTCATGATAGTATAACGTTCCGGTCTCTCCGAATTGAGGGACGGTTCAGGGGTTTTAATTACATCGGGTGGAATCAGAGGACTAGGGGGACGCTCTGCCAATTTCGTGTTGTCACCTTTCCCTGGCAGAGTTATCTTTGCAGACGGTAATTTCGAGAATTTTTTACGAGTTGGAATGAAAACAGGCTTCCGGAGACCACTCATGGTGACCATCACATCATACGCTGTACTCTCGCTTCCACAGTGTGGACACACCCCTTTCTTGTTTGGATAGACCTCGCACTCACGATGATATTGATGACCATTCACGCATTGTACGAACCTTCCTTGGGAACAGAACAGTCCACAGGAAGGGCAGCAATTGTGCCTCAAAAGTCTTTCTTTGTGCATTCTACACAAGATTATGAAGGGAACGCGAGCACTAGGTCTCCTCATTGCAACATCGTTGCTATCAACTTCGTTGCAGCATCCTACCAGTCTATTATCGATAGAATCTATTGCAGTACAATATAACGGTGCCCCGGAACCAGTTATTGTAACATATAACTGCGATCTGACTTGGCATAAACATAACATTGATTGACCATATGTCTAGAATATATAATGATATATGAGTACAACGAAGACATTGAACAAATAACATATACATACATTTTCAAATATACTAACTTCACTCATAATTGCTGTCGACTCTGGCTTCGATGCTTGTCCTTCAGCAGGACTAGGGCTTGGAGCCATACTTCTGCGCGTCCGTTTAGCTGGTACAGTTCCTTCTGTAAAGTGCATTGGCATTAAGATAATATTTACAATTAATAAGTATTGTATTATTATATTTACCTTCAGGATAGTCATTATTTTTGCCTGTTTCTGCTACAGACGCAGAGCCATCTGAAAAATAATATATCTGTTAACTGCAATAAATTATATGAAAACATGAATTTGAGGTTTTTCAAATTTTATACCTTCAAATAAATCTGCCTTTGCTATTTTCCTTGCACCTTGACTTCCCCTAGGTCGGCCTCTTTCACGCTTAGGTCTACCAGTAGCAGGCTTTAAAAATGGCTTTTCAATGTCTGCTAAAGGTATATCGTCACTTAGGGGACTGCCAATTGAGTTACTCAATTTTGTTTGAGATTCTGAACTTTTTATCATAGGAGACAATTTTGGCATACCCTCAAAGTCTGAAGAGAAACTTTGAGACTCATCCAGGATTGTCTCATTTGTGTTATTTTCTGATATAGCTGAGTTTCTAGAAGAGTCTAATGTTGAGTTTACCTCAGAGATACTAATATTCCCATCAATAATGGAAGCTTCTGTATCCTGACGTATATCGGGAGGTTTAGCTTGTGTTTGTTTATTTTGATCTTTCCCTGGGACTACTTTCTTGGGTCTTCCTGGTTTATTGTACTTTCTCTGTTTCTTAAACTGTAAATTTTCTTCCGTGTAATTAGACTTTTCTTTCCTAGCCATGGCACTTTCTAGCACGGTACTCTTTAATGATTCTTTGCATAATCTTCTTGCTGAACGTTTAGGACCTGGAGCTTCTTCTGTGTGGTCACTAAAAATGTTATGGAATGTTTATAAAATCTTTACATGCAATATCATATATATTTGAAATGAAAGAAAATAAAAAACCTAAGTGCTCTTAATCTAGGTCGTCCTGTTCTTCTTTTCCTAGTAACCGGAGCTGCATTTTCTGTCCTGTCACCTTGTTCTGTATGTTCTACAGAAACATCTGTTTCGTCAGTCTTAACTTTCTCATTGGTAACTGTATCCTTTTCTTCTACTTTTGTCTCTGGCTCTTCCTTGGTAGTCTTTGTCTCCTCTATAGTCTTTTCTGGCTCTTTATTTTCTGGTTCTTTAACAGTGTCTTCTGTTCTACCCTCCTCCGAATCAGATTTCTCGATGGCATCAGAATTCTCATCAGAGTTCTCAATCTTCACAGACACACCGCCAATTTGATCACAGTTTACCAATTCATCAGGAACTAAGGTGAGGTTGGAGGAACAGCTTGATATCTTTGTTTTCTTGCCATGATCGGTATTCTCGTCGATCGTCCGAAATGTGAGAACAATACGCGGAATGCCATTGCTATCCTTTTTTAGGGTTTCCTGTTTACTGGTATTTTCATCCTCCTTATGATTTTCCTCGATCGTCGCTGAACCTGCAGTAACATTTTCTTTCGGTTGAACCGCTTCCTGGTCCCCGTCCGCATCGAGTTCCTTCTCGATCGGCAATATTTCGTCAGGTTTTGCTGCCGGTTTTTCGATCTCTTCGTTATCCGATTTTTCCGTTCGATTAATCTCTGTGTTTTTGACGGGACTCACGGTTTTGTTAAATTCATTCGTCATACCCTCGAGGATCTTTTGGATACTGACCTTATCTTCGACCCTCTCGACAGCCATTATACCTTCCTCTTCGCCCCCTTCTTGACAACCCTCCATCGTGGCAGTCTCCTTGCACTTAATCTCCGACATATCGGAATACAAAAACTCTTAACTGGAAACTAGGAACCTTTACAATTAAAAGGCAACTCCATTCTATCGTCAAGGCGACCGTGTCAAGCGACTGCTAAAATACAACCGAACTACCGAACCGTATTCGACGTCGACGATGTCTTCCGCCACAGTAGCCAACAGTCAGAACGGTGAAACAACGCGCGTTCAGAATTTCTTTCTGACTGAATAATATCACCGATATCCGGTCGAAGACCGTGAAAATAATCTTCCGTGCACTTTCCAACAGCTTGACTAATTATATTATCACAGAGATCGTTTGTGCTAAAGATTTTCCGAGAAATAACTACGCTACGCTGGCGTGCCCCGAGTAGACCTGGAGGCCATATTGATTACTCAGGGACGGGCCGATTCGAGCGATGAATTTATTTTTAAAATGATCATCGACAGAGGCCTTTTAGCGTGAAATTATACACTCTCTCTGAATATTAAAAAGTAGCATGATACGTTTCTTCTACTGTACTAGAAAATAAAAACGTTTTTCTTATTAGATTACATGAAAATCAAATAATATAGATATGTATGTATCTGTATTACACATGCTTGTAAGTTTGCCCACCTATACATTGCATGGAAAGCAAGAGATAATGAATTCTTCTGCAACTTATTATGTACTCCCGCTTAGAACGAAGAAGTGTTATTCCCGACTAGATTGCTTCTGCTTCTATTATAATTGTTTTTTCGATACGCTAACTTTTTTTCTCTATTAAGAATAATTAGAATTGCTCGATAAAAATTGGGTATCGTTTAGCTATTCATGTGATTTTGCTGAAATCATCGTTACATAATGTAATATAGGATAAAATCATCCTACCCGTTTTCATTTATGTTATCATATTAGCAACAAATATTTTTATGCAATATTATTTTTCTATTGAAAGTAATCAGTTGTGCTCACGAAAATTAATGATATAGTTAATCGGTCAGACACTCATCATGAGCATTATCGTTTGGTTATTCGGCTATTTACGAGTTTAATGAACGAAATTCTTTTGGCCGAAATGAAACCGTTACAATGTGACAGTAACAGCGCGCATGAGCGTTCGACAAAAAGAAATTGCTTAGGATTACGTGGCAGCACATGGTAAAAATACATTCTAATAAGTAGCCATGCTCGCAACAAGATTGGTGGTCATAGATACCATTCGGTCATGATCTGGAATAAGCAAAATAACCGAATACGAACGAATGAAACGACAATACCGGAACCCGGAGTCGTATAAATATAAGTTTATTTACATTGCAACAGATCCTTTTGTCAAATAAGCGACAAAGGTGATTACTAGTGTAGATTGAACAAAGTTAATGAATAAATGTTAAAAATAATAATTACAACATTCTAGCCCAAACACGCCTCTGAATTAAATAATATACATTTGTTTGAAATTCATAGAATCTAGGAGACGTGAATATTGTGCTTTCCTTATGGAGGCGTCGTTAATAGTTCTTACGATTTGGTTTCCATTCGATCGACTCCCTGACTGCGATCGCTGTATACGTTTGGTATTGTTACAAACGATAATTAAATTGTGAAAAAACGTCGCCGTTGCTAAGTCGAGTTGCAGAGATTAACTGCAAGGCCGCCCGAGGATGGGAGCTCTTTTCGCGCGAGTGTTTGTTCGAAATACTTTTCTCACATGTGTCTCTCGATTAAAAAAAGAAGCGTAAACGAAGAGTGATAGGAACGGTTTACGCGTTCAGTACGATGCCGCATCTCCTATTAACGATTTTCTTTTCTTTTTTTGCCTTTTTTCTTTTTGTCTTTGCATTTTTTTCTTCTTTTTCCCATTTTTCTCCTTTTTTTTTAGAAAAACGTCGAACATACTACATTTATTTATATCTTTACAAGCAATATAAAAAGTTGAGCATCGTATTGCATCGGTGATTGCATCCTATATAAATACACGTCGACAAGAGAATTATTGACAGAAGTAGTTCAACGCGTTACGTTTACAGCCACGAAAGAAAGTCGTGCGAATATTGAAATTTTCAAAGACCATCCTCTCTCGAATCTCAGGAGCAGAATTATGTTTCGTTTTCCTCATATTCCTTTCCGCGAACATTTTCGCTAATAATATCGTACACGGTACGTATTCGAGGTCTATTTATCTTAAAATACGTACATCGTACAGTTCACGGTGTCGCCGAGTATTACAAACAACTATTTTTTGGTTTAGAATCGTTTTCAAGTACATTGTGCACAGGCACACCACTTTGCGTGCGCACCGACCGTCGTTGATTACAACACCATTCTACGTGGTACATATGATCGGTTCAGTTAATTTTAACGCATATGGCACCAACAAGGAATATGATCTCATCGTAACGGTGGGTTATGGTGGCGGAGGTCTCCTCTGAGGTTCGGGGGTGTAACGTAGACGGGCTCGCACATGCTGAGGACTACCAGGTACGGAGTTGCTCTCTGACAATCTTCTCGGAGGAGGTTGAGGTGGTGAAGATGAAATGTACCTTGACAAACGGAAACAGAACAAGGTAGATATCAATTTAATTTTGCAATCGGCAGACTTGAGATAAATTGAAGCGATGGTACCCGCTACCTTCGCGCAAAAGAAGGAGATGCTTGATCAACCAGGTTCCTTCTAAGAGCTAGAGGCGATTCGCCACGACTCAATCTTGGGGGCGGTTCTGGCGATGGTGCCCGTTCACTTCCGAGCCTGAGACGAACGTAAGAAGCGAAACGTTTCTTAGCAGATTCCTTGGATCCACCTTGAGCGGGTGGTATAGAGGATGGAGAATCTTGCTTCATTTGGTGTGCAAAACGGGAAATTAGTAACTCTGGGCTGGTGGACCCATGAGACCCTTGTGGTGGTGGTTCAGAGGGAAACCTATACTCATAGAGGTCGAAAGCATTTAGTAAAATGTTTACATAGGGTGGATGGCTGAATGGATTTTTTTACCTTTTACGACTAATCATGGGACTACCGTAGATATCCTGCGCCTGTGGATGAGTCTGTGGCGCGGGTGGAGTTTGTCCTAGTCGTTGCTGTAAAAATGGCGAGTACCGACCACTCTCTGTCGGTTGTATTACATTTGGAGGATCAACGTTTTCTCGCCTCCACGGCGAATAGTCCCGAGCAAACGGACTCAGAGATCTAGGGGCACCTTGCCATCGTTCTTTGCTGGTGTCCCGCTCTTCGGTGAAGCGTCCATGGTACGGTGAATAGAGCCTGTTACTCGCGTCTATTGAATTAGCATCCTGCCTATAAGGAGAGAACGGTCTTCCTTCCTGTCTACCTTGTCCATTAGTAGAACAGTGATTCGAGGTATAGTCTCTGTTTTGTTCGACATGTCTATACGGTGAATACGGTCGTTGAAAATTCGTTTCCGGTGTGTCAACATCATTGGACGAAGGAGGAGAAAACGGCCTGGAAATTTCCTTTCGTCTAAGCGCGTATGGACTATAAGATACATAGTTCGCACCATTCTCACTATTTGATCGTTGATGAAATGGCAGAAAATTGGAGTTCTGTGAGTCTTTGGTGACGTTGCTTCGCAAGAAAGCCGGTACTTCAGATTGAGCCCTGAGGTGAGCTGTTTGCTTCAGAGATACATGACCCGTCGTGACTCGCGGCTGCCATCCTGGCAATCTGAAACTGAACACGGCAGAAACGTTAAAGTGAATTTCTTCTGTATCATCCAGTTAAAAATAATCGACTCCCGGCAAGTGACTTGACACAATTGCGAATGCCGCTGCTATCAAAGATCATAAAATTTGTATATGATGTTTCTGTAAAAAAACTTGAGTCTGCAGAGAGTTAATAGAAGTTAGAGCGTTAATCATAGTTTAATCATGCAACACAGACAAGGATAGAGGAGTCTTTTTAAAGGTAATCGAAACATAAAATCTATCTATCTGTGTTGAAAACTAGAGAGCCGAGAGAATGTTGCATGCTAAAAAGAGAACTTGAAAATAATAGAATCAAATAAATAAACAATCTTCTTGATGAATGGAGTGTGCACAGGGAAACAATCATTTGTGCCACATAACCGGCAAGTCGCTGTATAATATAAACACAAATAAAACGAATATTCAAATAAATAAAAACAATGCTTACCATGAGTGGGGGTTGAAAGGTGGGGTGTGTAACAGGCGCGTGCACAAACCAAACAACTCGAAATGAAAATCGGGTAGATTTTTGGGTATTTGTGAGGTTTTTGTTTTTTTTTAAGTTTTTTGGAATTTTTGGGTGAGTTTTTAGGAATAATGGAATAGGGGGCAGGGGCGAGGGAGAGAGGATGCTATGCTGCGCTGCCTCCCTCAAGCTCAACGCTGCAACACAATTCAACACGCACGCAAACTTTTAATCGAAATTGTATGGACAGGTTTGTAAATGTCATTTTGGCAATGAATAAAAAGATAAATATTTGAAAACAAAACAAAACAATAACTAATGGTCCAACGAAAACCCAACTTTCAGAACTGAACATAAATTTTCGTGCCGCTTCAATACCTACCCATTTACCAAGAATACTAAAGTGTGTTAAAAACTTTTTTTAAAACTAACGTAAGAGACAATACCCGGTTATACTCAAACCAAACCAAATCATTACGATATTAGTTGGGAATCTCATGCTATGTTTTTAAACTCTATGTGCTTCTATGGTATGGTAATTTTCTAATAACGTGTGTTTGGTACTTAAAATTTTGGTTCTCACTCGGTACTATTCCTATGTACGAAAGACTACATTTTACTGCTTACAGCGGAAACGGTTATTAACGGTTTACCTTGGCTCTAATTGTCGCATAACTCTGCCAAACCATTGGCAGCCAGAATTTAAGACCGAGGAGTTCGTTTCTTCGTCTTGAGATACATCGTACTTCCGAATGAAAGGATGCTCCATGAGTTTATGATACTTCGGACGATGCTTATAATTTTTCGTAAGGCAGCAACTCACGAAGCTTCGAAATTCTTTCGAAAAAGATGCTTCTTGTGGAAGGGATGGAGGATCGTCTTGTACTACTCTGCTCAGTACCTATATAATAAAACGAGTGATACAGTATCTAGCTTTGACATACTTCACGTTATTGTATATATAGTACTTGCATTACCTCAAAGTCAGTCTTACAATCTCGATAAGGGAATACTCCTGTAGCTAATTCCACTAAAGTAATACCCAAACTCCATACATCTGCTCTGATATCGTAATCTGGTTTCGTTGGATCTGGCGGATCTATTCTTTCAGGCTGATAAAATACAGAAAAAACGCATTATGAGTTTTCTAAATTGTTAGTTGAACAGACAACATTGTTCTACTTACAGCCATATACGCGGCACATCCCGCGCTTCTAGTTTTTGCTTTACTATCAACTAGTCTACCAGATATACCAAAATCGCATAATTTTACTCCTCCCTTATCATCAAGAAGAATATTACTAGGCTTCACATCTCTATGAATTACACCATGCTTTTCTTTTAAGTATGATAATGCTTTTACTGTCTATAAAAGTAAAATATTTATTTAGTTGTTCTTTCTGGTTCAGCTCAAAGTAAGTCTGAGAATTGTACTATCACTTACAGCTACTGTAACTTTTCCTAAAAATTCTTCAGGCATTGCCTGTCTAGTTCTTTTCAATAATTTGTCCAAGCAAGTTGCCATTAATTCCATACAAATCCATACATCGGATTCTGTAATGAAACATCCCAAACATTGCACAATATATGGACAGTCGTGCGATTTCAGCACAACATCAAGATCCATAATTATCCTTTTATTTTCTTCTGCATTGCCAGAACGTCGCATTTGTTTAACAGCAATCAGTACACCACTAGGTTTATGCCTCATTTTAACAACATGCCCGCAGGTACCATTTCCTAATTCGCCTAAGTGCTCCAAGTCTTTCATTTCTGTTTGATACCTCTGTCCATTGATGTTCAAAATACCATTCATTTTCATAATTTCTTGTAGCTTTGACTCAAATTCGCTGTCTTGTTTTTTTGGTGGTATCTGTGAGACTTTCAGAGTTGGAATCGGAGCTGTGCCAAAAAGATTGACCATTGTTTAAATATTTTTTAAAAATCACATATAAAGGAAATCTTTCCATTATCAATACAAATAGTATATTTACAAAATAATGCTGAAAATAAATTGATACTTTAAAAATGAAATAGATTTCGAGGCATCTTAAGAGCAGGAGTATTTAATGAAATAAAAAAATAAGACCATTGTTTTTGTTTATAAAATTCGTTTAAACGAATCAATGAATATTTCAAACTTCAATCTACAGCTTAGAACGAAACAATTGCATCGCACGTGGATACTAATCCATAAATAATTTGAATAAAATAAACTACGCGTTAAACAAGTGGACCAAAAGTGTATCGTATGTATAGAATCAACAGAATAAATTGTGATGGTCAACATAACCTATACGAAAAGTGGTAAAGAACATGAATACGTTAAGAACCGAATAAAACTGGAGACAAGAGAAAAATCGAAGAACGAACATGAGAAATATTTGAGTGGAACTTACGTCGTGAGGCAGGGCTCGAACCAGTCCCTGTGGATGACGACTGAAGGCCCGTTCCTGGTCCAACCTCGTTACTCTGTCTGTCTCTGTCCCTCGACTCATTTTCCGCTTTGAGGCGTGCTTGCATTTTTAAAATCTTATTCTCCAGGGTACTGGACATCGCAACGATCTTCTGGAACACAATCAAGTTCACCGCGGAACACCACCTCGCACAAAATATTTGACAATTTTCACATCACTCGTCTGCCCGTTTTGGCAGCGAACATTGCGCCGCCGGTTATACGCAGTTCAGTAGAACCAACACACTCTCTCTCAATTTCTTAGAAATCACTAGAAAAATGTCAGATAAGAATATTTTTCGAATACCGTCCGAGGAATACGAACTAATTAAAAGTTTAATCGTGTAATCGCGATAGATAATCAAATATTCTTATTGTGATTGTTAATCGCTAATTGTATCGAATCAATTATTCAAACGGAAAATAAATGTACGGAAATATAATTGAGAGAAAGAACATTCAATTTGTTAATCATCTTTATTTTTGTCAATCGAATAAATGTTAAATATTTATGATACAAAATACAGTTCTATGCAGAACTTAATATACATGTATACAACAATCTTCCATAGATTCGAATTTTGTATTGATTAAATTGAAAGCATTTTATCAGTTTAAATAGTTATTTCAAATATGTGAAATATTAAAATATACGTGAAGCATCCTATTGCACGGAAAACACTCTGGATCATATTTTTAAATCTGTAATAAAAATTGATTTCGTAGGAAAGGAACCAACATGTAAAATACCGCGTATTCATTTCCAAAAGAATCAATTATACAAGCCACTGGAAAATAGTTCTATAAAGGCAAAATTGATCATTGTAGAACAGCAGCATTCGCAGCTATACTTGGATTATTAATAACTTCGCCCAGACTTTCTAATAATTCCTTCCTATAGTCATCGAAGTCTCCATCGATTTCATTGATTTGTTGATTCTCGATTACATATAAACAGCATTCTGTATCTCTAATCAGGCGTTCGTCATGGGAAACAATGATAACACCGCCTTTATATTCGTTGATCGCTTCGGCCAAGGCATCGATAGATTCTATATCTAAATTGTTTGTCGGTTCATCTAGAATTACAACATCGGGTGCATTCAAACATAACTCTGCCAATGCTACACGCGCTTTTTGACCACCTGACAAATCTTTCATTTTAATCGTATGCGCGTGAGAACTTAGTCCGAAAGTTCCTAATTGTTTCCTTGCTTTCTCATATGGCAGATTAAACAAACGCATCAAGTATTCTGACGGTGTTTCTTCGGCGGTCAGATGTTCACCTGAATGCTGGTCGAACTTTCCTATTCTCTGAAAATTCAAAATACGATTAGTGTCTCATTTAGCCGAGATTTAATTGAAAAATAACACTTACCAATCGATGATTTCTTATTAAGTCTCCTCTAAGAGGTTGTAAATCACCTGTTAATAATTTTAAGAAAGTAGATTTGCCGACGCCGTTGGGTCCTACTATAGCTACCCTGGAATTTAAGTCTATTCCAAAATCAACTTCAATAAATAATGATTTTTGTCCCTCGTATGAGAACGTTACATCTGAAACATGAATTTCTCTTAGCTGTTATTTATATAATATGAAATCGTATTATATTATCAACATACTGTGAAGACCAAGAATGGGTGGCTGCAAAGGAGGTGGATCAGGGAAACTGAATTTAACTATATATTCTCTAGGTTTCTGTAGTAATTCCGTAGGTGCAGTATCATCTTCTTGCTTCTGCATTTTCGTTTTATTCTTTTCTTGCTTTCTAGTTAAGGCTTCCTTTTGTTTCTTTTCAGCTTGTTTTTTACTTTGACCAGAAGATTTCATATCCTTGAGTCTCTTTTCTTGTTTCTCATATGCTTTGATCATCTCCTTTCTTTTTTGTTCATACATTTTCTTGAACATACTATAATTGCCTTTATAATAAAATAATTTTTGTTGATCTAAATGGATTATATCTGTGCACACATTGTCTAAGAAACTCTGATCGTGGGAAACAATGAGCAAGGTCTTTTTCCAAGCTTGCAAATAATTGTCCAGCCAAATAACAGCATTTAAATCTAAATGATTTGTCGGTTCATCAAGCAACAATAAAGTAGGTTCTAGAAACAGAGCTCTTGCTAGAGAAACACGCATACGCCAACCACCAGAAAAATTCTTTGTGGCACGATCTTGCATGGCACGACTAAATCCTAAACCAGCTAGAATTCTCCTAGCACGTGGTTCTGCAGAATCTGCCCCAATAATTTTTAGCTCGTCATACACCTGTAGCAGATATTTTATTTTAGTGATAAAAAATATTATGATATAATAAATGATAAAAATTATACCTCTTGTAATCTAGTTTGAACAGATGTGTCTCCCTGTTCCACTAATCCTTCCAATTTTTTGCATTCTGTCAATAATTCTTTACATTTTTCATCCGCATTTAACACTACTTCAACAGCTGGTGTGTCATCCGCAATGACTTCTTGTTCACAGTATAAAACATCTATGTTGGGAGGAATAGCAAATAATCTTTTTGCTATGTGGCGTAACAAGGTGGTTTTACCATGACTGAAAAATTAACGACAATCGTAAAATATAGAAATATATTTCGCAGAGGATCAAATAAAGTTATTAGTTATCTAAAAGTGTGTACCCATTTGGTCCTACTAGACCGTAACGTCTGCCTTGAGCTATCAACAGACTGGCATTGGTAAAGAGCTCTTTTCCTTTAGCAGCTATACTGAAATTTTCAACCTTGATGTCGACGGCGTGCTCTAATTGTTGATTGGTGCGTTGATGAGTCTGCGACTGGGAAACCGTGAAATTCGACTCGAGCTCACTGTGGCCCTGGCCACCGGTCTTCATCATCATCTCCATCGTTTTCTCATATTCCTGCTGTTTCTTCAGTTTCTTTTTCTCCTTGTGCGTTAGCTTCTTTCCCGTTTCCTCCACGTCCATTTCGGATATCTTTTTCGTAACATCCGTAACTTCCGAGGATTTTGTCTTGTTTGACATGGTGAAACGTGTCCACCTTGTTCACCCAACCTCACTTTCCATACTTTCACAATGCCTGGCTTGGCAATGAGGAAGTCAGCGAAACACGTGGCGCCATCCAACTCTCAGCATATTTTAGTATATTATGGTCTTCTGTGCGCATATCGCTCATTTGCTGCAATTGTGACAGAACTGAGAAATCTCAGGAAAAAAGAGAGAGTTTGAATGTTTTGAATTGTTCAAATATTGTAGCGAAATTTAGGAATCTTAGCAATTCTTTCTCTGGCAGTTAACAAAAAGGATCTTTTACAGTTTGTTACTTGTCGATTCAACAACTGTCATACAAATTTGAAAATTTTCTCGTGAGTACGAAGGAAGAAACGTTGAATATGTCGGATGAACTAGAGACGAGAATACAGAAGATAAATGCACGATTCGTAGCGTATTTAGAAAAGCATCGCATATACGAACTGTTTCACGTAAATCAATTTTCCTTACGAATAAAATTTTTTGAAGAGCTTGACGATTTCATTTAGCGGGGTCCAACGAATTTCTGCAGAATCTCGCAACTCAGTTGATAATCCACGAACCAGACGACCATCTTGTATTTATGAAACAGTATATGGAAACTGCTGCACAGAGACTCGATGCGACCAAGATAATTTTAATTGCTCCTCCGACATTTGGTAAAATGATGAATGATAAAATGATCGAATATTTACGTAACAGCACGAAATGGTTATTTCAGATAAGATAACCGTTGCTGAGATTTTTCACGGAGAGTTAGGCATCCATCCGTTCACCTTGAAAGAGCTTCGGAGAATGTGCGAGAAGGACAACGTAAGGAAAAGAATCGATTGAATATTCTTGATTTCGCTATAATAATAAATGGGCATCTGTCACTTAGGATACTTGCCACTGCGTGGAATCAGAGGACCTTGCGTTTGCTATGAGAAAGATGTTAGAGACCGGGGCCTTTATGCGCGGATGGGTTCTCGTTGGTAATAAAGCTGCGAGCCGTTATTGCCGCCATCTTGTATTTTTGAAATTTGAATTCTCCCGCTTAGAAAAATTATAAATCTATGATTATCAAAGATTTACCGAGAACAAAGAAGGAGGCACGAATCTTCCAACGAGCTGGTATAATCCCGACGCATGTGATACAACTGATAGTCTCAAACGAAACTGGTAAAAGTATATGTTAGCGACAGTTTACTTTTTAAAGAAATCGAGGGCAGATAACCTGACGTTAGACCGCTTTCGGTCAATGTATGGTAGGATCATGGGTTCGCGAAGCTTCTTGTAGTTCTTATCGACGGACAAACTCCAGATGGTGTTGGGCATCTCGAAGTTATGCGGATACTTGACGTGGTACATTCATTGCCACATGTTTAGGGAATTAGGAATCTTTAAGTATGGCAAGCGCCGTACCGCTACCTTAAAGAACAAGGATAGTGTTCTTGAGAGATCTGGCCACGGAGTGGGAAAGGCAGAGGTGCCTTTCATTCATTTTTATTTTTTTAAAAAGTTATTAGTAAATATTTTATGGGGGATAAAATATTAAAATAAAATTTTAGTTAAATAGTGAAATAATTTAGATTATTATTTATTTTAGTTATAAAGTATACTGTTTAAAAATTTTTTAAAAAGTATTTTATAGAAGGGTATCATTCATTTGCTTAGAAATTTCGAACATCAGGAATAAGATCCTAACATTTTACACAAAATATTTAAAAGCATGCTAGTGCAATCTTTGTTGAATGGACAGATCTATGATGTGCGAAATAATTGCGAAAATTGTAGACTTGCGGTGGCCGAGTTTTTCAAAATGTAATCTGGTTGTAAGGAGGGATGTTATTACCTAGAACAACTGTTTTGGAAGAGGTCAGTCGCGAGCATAACTTTCATGAATAACGAAGTGGCGTTTGATGAGGGATGGTGACAGGTCGTGTTATTGGAATCCGATGGATCGGCAAGGCTGTGAAGTGTCAAGGACCTCAGCAGAGGTCAATAGAAGAGAGTTGACTTAAAAAGTATGGACTCCGTAAAGCGCAATGTCATCGGAGAATTAAAATATGTATGTTTTGGATTGTATAGAGTGGTGAGAGGTAGATAGAGAGAGTTAGATAGATAGAAAGATAGATAGATAGATAGATAGATAGATAGATAGATAGATAGATAGAGCGAGAGAGAGAGAGAGAGAGAGAGAGAGAGAGAGAGAGAGAAGAGGCGCGCGCGCGCGTGTGTGTGTATGGCTGTCGGAATACAACGCGAAAACAGTATGGGTGGATGTTTCCCGAGAACGTGAAGCAGATTAAGTTGGCTTTGTTAGCGACAGCTTATTTTGGATAAAAACCGAAGGCAGATAGCCTGACGCTATTCCACCTTCGGTCAATTTATGGTAGAATCATGGGTTTGCATAGTCTCTTAAGATTGTAATTTCTGTCAACACGGATAAACCCTAGATGGTGTTGGACATTTCGAAATTATGCGGGTACTTGATGGGGCGTATTTGTTCGCATTTGTTTAAAAAGCTAGGAATTTTTAAGTATGGCAGACGACCCATGATCGTACCGCTACCTTAAAGTACAAGGATAGTCTTCTTGAGTACTGTGATTTACCACAGAACACTTACTCCAGAACCATCGAGGAGTACGTTCCTTGCATCTGCACAGAAATTTCTAAACACACAGTAGTGACGGTGAATGTTTTTAAATCCGATTAATTGCTTCATCATTATCCTTTGTAGACAATTGGGATAATGTTTGTATGAACGACACGTGCTACCAATCTTGTAAACCGTTCAATTTCATGGCCAAATCGGACCAACGTCTCTACGAGAAGCGATTGCAAGGTCTTAGGGAGGCGTATGCGAATGTTTTGATAGTTAGTTCGTTTTTAATACACAAGTCTTAAAAGTAGCTGAATCACTGATGAAGCGGTTTATTAATAGGAAGTCGATGTCGGGATTAGAAACATTGATGAGCTTGCAAAGGATTGCGTGAAACTAGCGAAAACGAAGAAGCATAGCGGAGCTCCAGCCCTCTTTCGTATCGCGTTAATTGGCTCCAGGGGATCCGGGTGCACGACATTGGCTAAATATTTGGCTGAGCGGTTCAATCTTGTTCATGGTAGTCGGCGGATTCTTTTTAGTCTTTGCACACTGTTAAAACAATTACTATAATACTTTAAAATCGGAATGACTATTTGTACTGAATAAAAAATCAATGACTAACTTTGATAGGGGTTAACGATGAACTAACAATGGTAATTCGTTTCACAGTCGATTACGATTACGTGGCGAAGCAATGTAGTCTGCAAAAGAATCCTCTGGGTGAGATGCTACGAATGTTCGAGCACCAGTGGGGAGCAAGATCCAAACCCGAGATCAAAATGCAAATTGTCGAGGTAGAAAAATGATTAAAGAAATGGACAACAGCTCGATTTAAGATTTGGTGAATTTCAGAAATACATATCTGGTTACGAGTGTCTAAAGAAGGGTTGGGTCTTGACCGGATACCCTAAGACGGTGGAGGATTTCAAGCTACTGGACCTTAGTCCCACTCCTCCTAACAGGTAATCAAATCGATCATGTTTTCTTATAAGACGCCACTCAATCTGCTGAACATTTCAGAGTGATTTTCATGGAGGTCAGTGGCGATGTCTGTAGAGAAAGATTACTCAATCGCCGCTACAATATGGAGACAGGTAGCAAGCATGATTCGTTTACGAAGAGCAACAACGACACCCGCGACATAAAATTAGCTGTACATCCGAAAGATTACCGTCTAATCGTTGAACGAGATGTAAAGACTCTTTACATCCAACTAGATCATATTTAGATTTTTACTTTTAAAAGTCCGCAGTCTAATCGCGACAAAGAAAATTAGTATTAGATTGTTCTGAATGGTCGGAGACGATAATTAATGATTGATAAATTATAGTTACAGGAGTACGATGAGAATGTGGCTGACATGATGCGGTACGCTGGTGAATCNTAGATAGATAGATAGATAGATAGATAGATAGATAGATAGATAGAGCGAGAGAGAGAGAGAGAGAGAGAGAGAGAGAGAGAGAGAGAAGAGGCGCGCGCGCGCGTGTGTGTGTATGGCTGTCGGAATACAACGCGAAAACAGTATGGGTGGATGTTTCCCGAGAACGTGAAGCAGATTAAGTTGGCTTTGTTAGCGACAGCTTATTTTGGATAAAAACCGAAGGCAGATAGCCTGACGCTATTCCACCTTCGGTCAATTTATGGTAGAATCATGGGTTTGCATAGTCTCTTAAGATTGTAATTTCTGTCAACACGGATAAACCCTAGATGGTGTTGGACATTTCGAAATTATGCGGGTACTTGATGGGGCGTATTTGTTCGCATTTGTTTAAAAAGCTAGGAATTTTTAAGTATGGCAGACGACCCATGATCGTACCGCTACCTTAAAGTACAAGGATAGTCTTCTTGAGTACTGTGATTTACCACAGAACACTTACTCCAGAACCATCGAGGAGTACGTTCCTTGCATCTGCACAGAAATTTCTAAACACACAGTAGTGACGGTGAATGTTTTTAAATCCGATTAATTGCTTCATCATTATCCTTTGTAGACAATTGGGATAATGTTTGTATGAACGACACGTGCTACCAATCTTGTAAACCGTTCAATTTCATGGCCAAATCGGACCAACGTCTCTACGAGAAGCGATTGCAAGGTCTTAGGGAGGCGTATGCGAATGTTTTGATAGTTAGTTCGTTTTTAATACACAAGTCTTAAAAGTAGCTGAATCACTGATGAAGCGGTTTATTAATAGGAAGTCGATGTCGGGATTAGAAACATTGATGAGCTTGCAAAGGATTGCGTGAAACTAGCGAAAACGAAGAAGCATAGCGGAGCTCCAGCCCTCTTTCGTATCGCGTTAATTGGCTCCAGGGGATCCGGGTGCACGACATTGGCTAAATATTTGGCTGAGCGGTTCAATCTTGTTCATGGTAGTCGGCGGATTCTTTTTAGTCTTTGCACACTGTTAAAACAATTACTATAATACTTTAAAATCGGAATGACTATTTGTACTGAATAAAAAATCAATGACTAACTTTGATAGGGGTTAACGATGAACTAACAATGGTAATTCGTTTCACAGTCGATTACGATTACGTGGCGAAGCAATGTAGTCTGCAAAAGAATCCTCTGGGTGAGATGCTACGAATGTTCGAGCACCAGTGGGGAGCAAGATCCAAACCCGAGATCAAAATGCAAATTGTCGAGGTAGAAAAATGATTAAAGAAATGGACAACAGCTCGATTTAAGATTTGGTGAATTTCAGAAATACATATCTGGTTACGAGTGTCTAAAGAAGGGTTGGGTCTTGACCGGATACCCTAAGACGGTGGAGGATTTCAAGCTACTGGACCTTAGTCCCACTCCTCCTAACAGGTAATCAAATCGATCATGTTTTCTTATAAGACGCCACTCAATCTGCTGAACATTTCAGAGTGATTTTCATGGAGGTCAGTGGCGATGTCTGTAGAGAAAGATTACTCAATCGCCGCTACAATATGGAGACAGGTAGCAAGCATGATTCGTTTACGAAGAGCAACAACGACACCCGCGACATAAAATTAGCTGTACATCCGAAAGATTACCGTCTAATCGTTGAACGAGATGTAAAGACTCTTTACATCCAACTAGATCATATTTAGATTTTTACTTTTAAAAGTCCGCAGTCTAATCGCGACAAAGAAAATTAGTATTAGATTGTTCTGAATGGTCGGAGACGATAATTAATGATTGATAAATTATAGTTACAGGAGTACGATGAGAATGTGGCTGACATGATGCGGTACGCTGGTGAATCCGCGGTAAAAATCGATGGAAACGAGGATGAGAAGATCGTTCGGGAAAAAGTGGAAGCATGTCTAATGCATCCGGCTCCAGATCAGAAGCTGAGAGTGCCAAGACCTCCACCCGAGATCGACCCAATGGACATTGAATTTGATCCCGATGATGAACCTGATTCCAGCGTATTCGACCCTATACGCGCGCGCGAGCCCACCTACGTTTTTCTTTAAAACAGAATATTTGTTATCGAGTATCCGACCGTTTAAAATTGCTACTTGCACAGTCAATCGTGCGGAAATTACAAATTCTCACAGCGATTTTTCTTGTCCGCTGGTAAACGCCGACCAAACTACCAGGGTACCTAGAACTCACCCTTCGTTAAGGGTGGAAGTTGCGCTCCTGCGAGTCCTGTTATCCTGGTGGTTTAGGCATCCGTCTCCGCAACATTATAGATTTTGACGTCGATGATTCTCCTTGTGCTAGTATCAACAACCTGATACACAAGCACCTGTAATAGGTTGCAAATCAAATTTGTAGCCAACATTGTCTGATAAATTACATGTCCATTTTTTATTTCAAAGGAAGACGTTTTCTTTAATATTCTTTCGTTATCTCGATGATCAGTATTTTCAAAAAATGGCAAATGCAAGTAGTTAACGAATCGAGAATATAATATTGATCAAAGATTAAATGAATTGGAAAGATCGAGGTAATGTTTAGTTTCATTATCCGTTTTTCGTTTTCCGATCAAGCGAGGATTCTCGAATGACTTCGAGAATTTGTCGAGTGTCGTTGCAAGCGTTTCATGACGGGTTGTTTTCGATACTCCGGCAACAGGAAATCAATATCTAGAAAGAAGATGAATCGGGTTGAATTAAGGGCGCTGCGACGCCTACGTTAATGGGGATAATTGCCTCAAACGCGAAGCATATTTCCGGATCAAGGATGCATAGCTGGTGGTAGGTTGCGGCAGGACATGTGCAGGACTTTCTTCGAGGGATGAATTCCTGACTGAGTCGCCCTCCAGTCGACAGGTCTTCCCTTTTCCGAAGAGGGATTTCCCGAATTACATTCGATGTTCTCGATACTAGGAGAACACACTCGGCGGGAATCGAATTGTAAACATCATCGAGTCGTTGACGTGTACATTTTTCTAGTCATCGCGATGATTAGATGCAAAATTCTCTTATTTTAATTCTATGCTGTTAAGTAAAACATTGTTTTGGCTGGTAAAAACGAATATGTAACTAAGAAAGTGTTTTCCACGAACGACGAACTGAGATGATGATGATGGCTAATGAAATTTATGTTACAGAGCAGACGTTACGTGAAGGGGAATACCTGTTTCCGTGAAACAGGCCAAACACCGGAAGGAAACAGGAAGTCGGAACGTAGGGAAGTAGAGACGAACGGAGGTCGCTCGCAGAGTGATCATCCGATGAAGAAGAACTTATCGAGGCAGGTGTCTCGCTTTTCAGTATAGTGAATATAACAAATATCATGGCAGTATTATTTAATAGCAATATTACATAACACTGCTAAATCGAAATAGGTTTCTGCAAGACCCTGCGTCTTCACGAACAGACTTCTGGTGATCGCGAGCAATCTTGAAAGCAATAATTTTTAAGCAAACAATAGATCACGCGACACACACCATGGGCAAAACTTCAAAAGACGAAATAAGCTCAGGTAGTAGGGTACGAGGATACAGGAGCAGTGTCAGGACATTCAGGATTGTATCCTTCTAGCGAGGCTGCATCCCTATAACCCGAAAACGCTGCGGGTACGTGTCAGAGTGTCAGGGACGTGTCGTGGACGTGGACACTACACCATCGTATGCCAGTGATCCTCAACAATTTTATAGGTCTGACCTTAGCTATTATATGGCGATGATAAGAATGCACAGGTTGAAGAATACACATTGAAAAACACGTCAATAGCCTTTTTTAAGTTTGGAAAAATATTTCTTCATTGCTCGATGTATAAAATAATTCATACCATATAATTTTAGGTAGAAAATCAAAGATTTGGAAACATTGAGAGCTTGAGAACCGCCAGCATACACATTTGAAGGAATTCTTTTTTTCGCGTTGTACCACAGACGCATTAGGCTTGCATAACACCGCGACAATTATCCCGATCGTCGGATTCCGACGACCATGTCGACCATGCTATCCTGGAAACAGCGACGAGCCGAACAGTGTCCGTTGGATATGTGAAATGTGAATACGACGACGCCAACGCTGTCACGCGCTCGTATCTTACGAACGTCCAACGCCACTAGGGTACCATGCGGACCAGCATGTTCAGGTTGGACGGGTATCCCTTCAAGATCCTCAGAAGCCGAGCTTGCGCACGTTAAGTATTCCGTCTACCAGGACCCCATGCCTGAACACCGGCTGCTCCGTTACGAAGCTTCCTTTTCGTTACAAGGAGACGGAGCTGGACATCGGCCGGGTCTCGTGTCTCGTCAACGTCCTGTCACTCGTCAACCGCGTGGCGCCGGAAGCATCCGCGCAACCAGGACCCCATAACTCAGCGGTGATATCCTGGCGGGTCCAGGACGACCCTGCGACTTTCGACGTAGCTGCACATTCGTCGCTCGCCAGGATAACAGGACGCCAGTAACTGTTCGCCGACAAGTTGTTCCTTAACTCGGAAATTTAAGATACCGTTCTGGAAGAAGAATTCTGGAAGGAAGGTAACAGGATGGAAGATCGCAAGACATAGCTCCAGAAACGGTTTAATTTTTATGCACTGTCCGACGAGAGAAGAGTTTCGTGAGAAAGATAAAGACAGAGAGCAGATGTCACAAGATAATGGTCTCCTTATCGATGCTGATCAATTGTCATCGAACTTGCAGCGTCTTCAACGCGTCTTAATTTTGGCTGCGTATCACAGGCAATCATAAAGCGGGTCGCGTGTGCCACCGAAAAAAAATTCCAGATATCCGGATGGATTTCCGATAACGGACCGTGGCTATATGTGTACACGCACGTGTACAAAGCGCAACCCCGCAACACTGTTCCCACTCTCTCGCCTCTCGATGAAACAAATATTGATTCGATATTGTCGGACGCGACGCCACGCGACGACTCGCCACGGAAAATTGCCTATTTTTTGTGCGATTAATTGTCTCGGCCCAGTTTGTAACTCAGCGGACTTTGGGAATCTCGCTCGAAAATAGATCACGCTGATGGTAGCCAGTAGCCTCTAAACACTAGTTCCAATCGATCGCAGGCTTTCACGGGATGATGGCCAGACGGCTGAGTTAATATCGGGAACGATAACAGGATTTATTCCAATTTGAGCTTCAAAGCGTCGCCCTGTTTGTTCATCAGGATACCAGCACAGAGGTGGAGGCCAACGTTTCTATTATTCATCCGCCCACAATTGATCGGAATAGGGGTGGCGTGGGTGTACGATTGGCCCGTGGCAGGCGATCACCTAGTCGATTCCATCGAATCCCGTTAGACACTGAAACGCAGCAATTTACTCTGCACAAGGTGTAATTAACGCGTTCAGCTAATACTTTCCTTTTAATACGAGGCCTAAGAAATATTTCTGTATTTCATTCTCGTTTTTTTTTTGCAGATTAGTTGGCGTGGAGACTTCTCGATGGAGCATAAATTTTAGCAACATTGGTTTACCAAGATGCAGTAATTTTGTAAAAGAAGAAGAGGAAAAGAAAGATACACGTGGTAGGGTATATTAAGAATTTTATGATTACTTTATTTTCTGATGAATGGATCAGACTCGTGTTGGTCTAACCAACAACATTATCGATTCAGGTGTCTGTCGGAGAAACTTAGATAGGAATGATATCCTCAAGTGCGGCAGCTAGTAATTACGGAGGAAAGCAGTGAGTCTGAGCACCGATACTAGAAGAGGTATCACCGAGGTATCGTTCTTCGGTAACAATGTTCGCAGTGCTCGGTGTTGGTACATCCTTGCCTCTTAAAACCCGGCAGCCTCTGGGCGTTTAAGTCCTCAAACCGTTCTAATTGAGGTTCCTCCTCGTTACTGCGAAAGGGTTACCCGAAACAATGGCTGGAACAAGTGCAGATGACAATTGCACGTAGGCAAGCATCCGCGCTGCTAACAAAAGCGCGGCCAGCGGTCCTTCTCCGTCTTCTTCTTGCATCTTGTCTCGCCATTGTTCCGGAGCGAGCTTCAGCCTCGGATAACGAGTAACGAAGCGTCCTCTGGGGTCCTCGAGATATCGAGACAGCTAGCCTCCGAAACGGCCCTTTCGAAGAGGAGGCAAGAAGCAACCTTGCAGGAAGAAACCACGGCGCGCAGCGTCGCGACGCGGAAGATCGTCGGAGCTTAGCCACGGCTTCGAAGTTTGCGAGCCCGTTCGGTTGTGAAACGATCATGGTTCCCAGGTTAAACTTGTTCAGGATTGAGCGTTAATCGGCGGGGTTCCTCCAGACGAGGAGGAACTGCGATCGGCAACCGATGAATGCGATAACAAGGGTCGCGTCGTGTCGAGCCAATAGAATATCCGTGCAATTATCGGAGGAGCCTGCGTAATTATTTTAATGATCACACTGGGAATCGATAGTCTGGCCCCGACGGGCTCCGCTTTACGAAACTAATTTAATTAGTACTTTAAGCAGCGCGAGGGCGTAACATCGGTTGCTGATAATAGAAGGGCGGTGGGCCGCGACGGGAGCCGTTATCAGCGGGATCCCTTTCACGTTAAACCCATTAACGGTACAATTAGCTGTACGCTGAATTTTATATTCAAAAGCGGAGGCGAGCCTCGGTGAAAAGGCTTCTACCTCATTTCGCGAGAAAGGGTGAAAGAACCACAAGCCACGGAGAAGGAAACCGGCGTTATAGTTCTTCTCAGAGAACACTGCAGAGACGTAAACTGCATCTCCCGTTTCCGCGGAAGAAGAAAGCCGGATAACGGGAAGAAAGGGAGGAGGGACCGGGGAACAATCGAGAGAAAGGCAAGAGAGGAAGAAGAAACAAGTCGAAGCTCTGACTCTGCGGAGAGTGACTCGCCTCTCATTTTGCTCGAGTGCCCTCGCGAACGGGGAAACATTTCAATTAATTACTGCGTAATTAAAATATGAAAAAGTAGTCATTACCTCGCATTTCCGCGTCGGTTACCCGGACAACTTTCTTGCTCGCTCGCCAACCCTCTTCTGATTCGACAAGACTCCTTTTCCTCCACTCTTTCTCTCTTCCTCCTCCCTTTTTCGTTTCGCGTTTCGCATCATGTTCCTCGTGCTCTCTAACTCAGGCCCGACTTTCGAACGATATTCTCGCGTTTTATTTCGCCGACACAGATAATTCGCTACGGTGCACTTTCTCTCTCTCTCTCTCTTTCTCTTTCTCTCCCTTTCTCTTTTCCTCTCTGTTTCTCGTCATCGCGGGCATTAATTATGCACGTGTCAGGTAACCCCGAAGTGGTTGCCAGGTAAGCAGCCTGCTAGACGCGCACCGTGTGCGCCGTGCATCTACATGTAAAAATAAATACTCTGCCGGGACATCCTCGCGCTTGACCCGTCGCGTCGCCAACGAACCTTCCCGATCAGCCCGAGGCTAACCCGAAGTCCTA